GGCGGTGTCGGGAGGACACGGAGCTGAGTGCGGACCTGCTGGGGAGGGAGGTGTCAGCCACGGAGGAGTGTGTGCGAGTGGAGGTGGGGGCCTGGGAGTGAGGACGGGGCGGGCGTGGAGGCAGCAAAGCGGGGAGAAGGGGGGCCTGGCCGGCCCGCTGGTTGGAGGTCGTCCCCACCCCACAAGGTCAGCTGAGGGTTCAGGTCCGGGTCAGGCACATCCCTGGGCTGTGGGTGCGACCCCCAGTCAGGGTCTGGACCCACGTTTCTCCTTCACATTAATCTCTCTCTCTCTCTCTCTCTCTCTTTAAATCAATAAACAGCCCAGCCAGCATGGCTCAGTGGTTGAGCGTGGACCTATGAACCAGGAGGCCACAGTTCGATTCCCCGTCAGGGCACCTGCCCGGGTTGTGGGCTCCATCCCCAGTGTGCAGGGTGCAGGAAGCAGCCAATCAGTGATTCTCTCTCATCACTGATGTTTCATTTGTTTGTTAATCCTCACCCGAGGATATTTTCCCATTGATTTTTTTTAATATATTTTATTGATTTTTTACAGAGGAAGGGAGAGGGATAGAGAGTTAGAAACATCGATCAGCTGCCTCCTGCACACTCCCCACTGGGGATGTGCCCGCAACCAAGGTACATGCCCTTGACCGGAATCAAACCTGGGACCCTTCAGTCCGCAGGCCGACGCTCTATCCACTGAGCCAAAACGGTTAGGGCTTCCTGTTGATTTTTAGGGAGAGTGGGAGAGAGAGGGAAAGACAGAGAGAAACATCGATGTGAGAGAGACACATGGATTGGTTGCCTCCTGCACGCATGCCAACCAGGGCCCCAGGCTGGGGAGAAGTCTGCAACCTGGGCCTGTGCCCTTGACTGGAATCGAACCCGGGACCTTTCAGTCTGCAGGCCAACGCTCTATCCACTGAGCAACACCGGCCAGGGCTGGAGGTCCTTCGTTCTCACTGCTGCAGAGCGTCCCGTGGTGTCAACGTCCCACGGCTGTTGTCCCCACTCGTCTCCTGATGGCACCAGGGTTGCGTCCAGGTCTCAGCTGCTGTGAAATGGGAGGGGGCACAGCTTGCTGAGGGGCTGGGCTCGGACCACCAGGCGGAGATCGCATGGCTGACTGGCAGGGCGGGGGTCCCGCACGGCCTGTAGGGTCCGACCCTGGCGACCCCATTCTCACAGCCGCCTTCTTCCCACAGGGTCCCACGGCGGCGGCAGCAATGCTCACGGACCCTGCACAGGTGAGTGGAGGGCGTGTCTGTGCTCACCCATCCCAGCGACCACCCCGTGGTTCTGGCCCTTCCATCTGTCTAGGCCAGGGGTGGGCAACCTTTCTGTGAGTGCGTGCCAAAACCAGCAAAATCTCTGACTCAAAATTCTTCTGCTTGCCAATCCTAATTTTTTGAGAACATGTTACGCCTACTTGATATCTCTTAAGGTGTACGTATGTGAAGAACCTTGAAGAAATAATAAAATTCATTCGAGCGACAAAAACACAGTCTATGATGATGAAAAATACATTTATTTTTTAACGTACACATGTACACTGGGCCTCCCGAGGCTCAGCCTCTGACGGGCGGGGAGGGCAGGGCCGCAAAGGGGCGGTGTCAGGAGGACACCGAGCTGAGTGCGGACCTGCTGGTCTGAGACGCATCAGGAGGGAGATGTCACCGGAGGCGTGTGTGCGGGTGGAGGTGGGGGCCTGGGAGTGAGGTCAGGGCGAGCGTGGAGGCGGCAAAGCGGGAGAAGGGGGGCCTGACCGGCCCTGCTGGTTGGAGCGTCGTCGTCCCCGCCCCACAAGGTCAGCTGAGGGTTCAGGTCCGGGTCAGGCACATCCCTGGGCTGTGGGTGCGACCCCCAGTCAGGGTCTGGACCCACGTTTCTCCTTCACATTAATCTCTCTCTCTCTCTCTCTCTCTCTTTAAATCAATAAACAGCCCAGCCAGCATGGCTCAGTGGTTGAGCGTGGACCTATGAACCAGATATTAAGAAAAAAATTGTAAATGGAAGATTATAAGAGAGGGTTTCGCATGCCAGCAAAAGTTACTGGCGTGCCATGTTTGGCACGAGTGCCAGGGGTTGCCCACCCCTGGTCTTTGCCCTCGGGGAAGGGGAGCGTCCTGAACCGTCTCCCATTCTCTTCCCTCCTTTGAGTCTGAAGACCTTGTGCATTCACCAGACCCAGGATTTTGTTTCCAGGCCCAGGTCATATGGAGCAGTTCTTTCTTTCTTTCTCTTTCTTTTTCTTTCTTTCAGAGAGGAAGGAAGAGGAAGAGAGAGAAACATCCATGATGAGAGAGAATCCTGGATCAGCTGCCTCCTGCATGCCCCCGACTGGGGATCGAGGCCACAACCCAGGCATGTGCTCTGACCAGGAATCGAACCCGGGACCCTTCAGTCTGCAGGCCGATGCTCTATCCATTGAGCCAAACTGGCTAGGGCTCTCTCTCCCTCTCTCTCTAAAAGTCAATAAAATGAAATTAACACAAAGATGTCGCAGGGAGTCCTAGGCACAGGATTTGGCGTGTTCAGATGCGAACAAGGACGGTTCAGCTGGGAGGTTAAGGGACCTGCAGGTCTCCGTTCTCTGGTGGGAACGGGGAGCCCGGTGCGGGGTGGGGAGGGGAGCACAGGTCTCCCACCTGGAATGACAGCCTGAGGCCCCGGGCCTCTGATCTGAGGTCTGTGGGAAGCTTTGAAGTAGAGGAGGAAGGTGCTGTGACCCACACTTTAACAGGCGCCCTCTGGCTGCAGAGGGAAAAGACTCAGGGTGTGAAGAAGGCGGGGAGACCTGGCAGGAACTTCCTGAAACCGTCCAGGCGAGTTTCCACAGGGGCCACGTAAGAGTGGTGGCCGCTGCCCTGGCCGGTGTGGCTCAATGGATAGAGCATCGATCTACAGACTGAAGGGTCCCGGGTTCGATTCAGGTCAAGGGCACATGCCTGGGTTGTGGGCTCGATCCCCAGTAGGGGTCGTGGGAGGAAGCAGCTGATCTATGATGCTCTCTTATCATTGATGTTTCTCTCTCCCTCTCCCTTCCTCTCTGAAAGCAATAAAAATATATTTTAAAAAATAAAAGAAAAACGTGATTTGAGGTTCAAGTCAAGAACCTGTAAAAAATTAATAATAATTAAAAAAAAAGGAACTGCCCCTGGGCTGAGCTGTCCCCCTTCTCCAGGGCCGTGTGGTCTTTGAGGATGTGGCCGTCCGCTTCTCCCGGGAGGAGTGGGGGCTCCTGGATGAGGCCCAGCGACACCTGTACCACAACGTGATGCTGGAGAACGTGGCCCTTCTGTGCTCCGTGGGTAAGGCCCTCGCACCCCCGGGGCCTGTGCTGGGCTCCGTCCTTCCCTTTCCCCGGGCGGCTCTGTCCTTCCCACCGGAGACCGTGGGCACTGCTGCCTCTCCTGGTGCCTGGCACCCGTGTTGTTGGTACCAAGGCCGGGCTGTGCACTGTCCCTGCTGTCCCCATGCAGCCCCGTCCCTGCTGCTCTGAGTCCTCGCTAGACGGGGCTAAGGACTCGGATGCTGCCTCTCCTGGTGCCTGGCACCCGTGTTGTTGGTGCCAAGGCCGGGCTGTGCACTGTCCCTGCTGCTCTGAGTCCTCGCGAGACGGGGCTGAGGACTCGGGAATCATGAAGGTTGTGAGAGATGCCCCATGGGTTCCCCCAGAGCTGGTCTTCCTGGGGGGTCACTCAGGCCGGATGCTGGGACCTCGGTGCCCAGGCCCTGCCCCTCCTCGTGCTGACATTTCTTGGGATCCGCCTGAGTCAGGAATTTTAAGCCCCAACATAGTTACTAATTTTAGGGACCACTGGGTTATTTCTACTGTCTCTGCTGTGAAGTTCTGATAATTTTTTAAAAATATATTTTATTGATTTCAAAGAGGAAAGGAGAAGGGAGAGAGAGAGAGAAACGTCAAAGATGAGAGAGGATTATTGATCGGTTGCCTCCTGATGGGAATCTTTTATATATATATTTTTTTTTATTTTATTGATTTCAGAGAGGAAGGGAGAGGGAGAGAGAGATAGAAATATCAATGATGAGAGAGAATCATGGATCTACTGCCTCCTGCATGCCCCTTACTGGGGATCGAACCCACAACCCGGGCATGTGCCCTTGACCCGAATCAAACCCAGACCCTTCAGTTCGCAGGCCGACGCTATACCCACTGGGCCAAACCAGCTGGGGCTCTGACACACATTTCTGATGGGGCCACCCCCTCCCACCAAAATCAACACGCACGTCACTGCCATTTCTCTGCTTCCAGGCAGTTGGCATGGCACCCAGGGTGAGGAGGCACCTTTGGAGCAAGGAGATTCCTTGGGAGAATCACAGGTCAGGACTCCAAAGCCAGACCTGTCCACCCAAAAGGCCCAGCCCTGTGAGACGAAAGGCATTTTGCAACTGGCTGAGCGTGATGGAATGTACCCCGATCAGAGCCTACGCATCTGCGGGACAGATCTCTACCAGCAGCATCTGGAGCAGCCGGGAAACCACGCCTCCAGAAGCGTGATGGAATGTACCCCGATCAGAGCCTACGCATCTGTGGGACAGATCTCTACCAGCAGCTGGGAGACCACGCCTTCAGAACGGGCTGCGTCCCCCTGGCAGAGAAGACCTTCCCGTGCAGCGAAGGTGGGGAGGGCTTCCCAGCCGGCACGGGGCTCCTGCAGCACTGGGCTCCTCACAACCGGTGGAAGCCACAGCGGGGCACCCAGTGCAGAGAGACCTTGGAAACGGGACGGAATGATCTCAGGTGCTCTCAGTGTGGGAAAGGCTTCAGCCGGAAACAGATCCTCGTGCAGCACCAGAAAATCCACACGGGAGTGAGGCCGCACGCGTGCGGCAAGTGTGGCATGGCCTTCCTCAGGAAGTTCCACCTCGTGCAGCACCAGCGGGTCCACACTGGGGAACGGCCCTTCGAGTGCAGCGAATGTGGCAAATCCTTCAGGTACAAGTCCACCCTTATGGGCCACCAGAGAGTCCACACCGAGTCAGGCCCATCTGAGTGCAGCAAATGTGGGAAACTCTTTAAGTACAAAGCCAACCTCGTGAAACATCAGAGCATTCACAATGGAGAATGGCCGTACGAGTGCCGATTATGTGGGAAGTTCTTTAAGTACAACTACAGACTCGTCAGACACGGGCGAGTTCACACTGTAGAAAGGCCCTACGAGTGCGGGGAATGCGGGAAGTTTTTCAGGTACAGCTCGACGTTCGTGAGGCACCAGCGGGTTCACACCGCAGAAAGGCCTTACGGTTGCCGGGAATGTGGCAAGTTCTTCCAGTACAACTCCACGCTCGTCAAACATCAGCGAGTCCACACCGGGGAAAGGCCGTACGAGTGCAGCGAATGTGGGAAGTTCTTCCGCTACACGTCCACGCTCCTCAGACATCGGAGAGTTCACACTGTCGAAAGGCCTTATGAGTGCAGCTTATGTGGGGAATTCTTTAGGTACAAGTCCAAGCTAGTTAAACATTGGCAGAATCACACCGGGGCAAGGCCGTACGAGTGCAGTGAATGTGGGAAAGCCTTTACGTACCACTGCCGACTCCTCAGACACCAGAGAGTTCACACTGGAGAAAGGCCATACGAGTGCAGTGAATGTGGGAAATTCTTCCGGTACAACTCCAGCCTCCTGAAACATTGGAGAAATCACACTGGAGAGAGGCCCTATGAGTGCAGCGAGTGTGGGAAAGCCTTTAGCCACAGACACATACTTGTTGAGCATCAAAAAATCCACACTGGAGAAAGGCCCTACACATGCAGCAAATGTCAGAAGGCCTTCGTTCGGAAGTCCCACCTTGTTCATCACCAGAAAATCCACAGCCAAGACAGGCCTGTGAGAAGCGTGAAGGTGAGAAATTCTTCGGCTACAGCTCCAGCCTCATTAAACAGAATTCACGCCGGCAAGGAGCTCAGGAGTGCAGAGAAGACGGTAAACCTTCTGGATACCACGCTAAACTCATTCCCCTGGAGAAGGGACTTATGAGTTCACACTGGATTAGGGCCTTCAGAATATGGTGAATGCGAGAACGTCTTTAAGTGCAACTCCCACCCCGTGACACATCAGAGATTTCACGATGGAGAAAGACCGTGAGTGCAGTGAATATGGGCATGTGCTCGGCCAAACCTCCAGCCACACTCTGGCACCAAAGGTTCATGCCGGAGAGAGTATAGCAAATGGTGAAGGACTTCAGCCAAATGTCTGCTCTAATTTATCCCCGGGAACTACTGTAATGTAGTTATTAGTCTTAATTTTATGTTTTCAATTGTGGTTAAAATACCTGTAACAAAGTTTACCCTCTAGCATTTTAATGGCACAGTTTAGTCATGTTAAAAATTCACACACACACACACACACACACACACACACACAAAATTCACATATTTGTGCAACTAATCTCCAATATTTTTTTTATCTTGCAAAGCTGAAACTCCATACTCATGAAACAGCTCCTCCTACCCTTGTCCTACTGCGCCACATTCTGCTTTCTGTCTCTCTGAATTTGACTCCTCAGGATATTTCATATAAGTGGAGTCATACAGCATTTGTCTTTCTGTGACTGGCTGCTTTTCTGAGCATAATTTCCCCACGTTGAAGCATTTGTCAGCATTTCCTTCTAGTTTGAGAAGGAATCAGGGTTGACCCACCTAAGACATGGGGAATGGCACTGCTGGAATCAGTAGAGCTTTGCCAGATGTTAGGATATTTCTACAGGAAGGGAGATCTAGATTTTGTATGGACTCTTTATTTAACAGTTTTATTGATACACTGACATAAATGGCATTTTTTAAAAAGTGTAAAATATATTTTCATGTGTGTGTGCACAATGGGACCATCACCAAAGTCATGATAATGAACATATCCATCAGCCTATAGTTTTCTTTCTTAAGTATTGATTTTTAGGGAGGAAGGAACATTGCTTTTGTTGTTCCACTTATTTACGCATTCGTTGGTTGATTCTTGTATGTGCCCTGACCGGGGATTGAACCCACAACCTTGGCGTATCGGGATAAGGCAATAGCCAACTGAGCTACCCAGCCAGGGCATTTTCATTGGCCCCTTTATAGTCTCTCCCACTTCTACCCAACTGGTCATCCCCAGATACACACTATAGTTTGCATTTCTAGAATTGTATAGAAGAAATCCTACAGTTACTCTTGTATAGCTGTTTTTACTAAGCACATACATATATATATATTTTAGTATTATCCATGTTGTGTGTGCAAAAGCATGGCACCCAATAATAAGCAAGGCTCTGTGTTTTATCACAGTGGCACATGTATAAACATGAAGGTGCTGTTACATTCTGACAATCACTCTGAGAAGAAGAGTTGTTTAAAGTGGGAAAGTGAAGTTTAAACCAACACACTTAAGTTCAGTTTCATATGAATTCATCATCAATAAAAATTTTGAATCATCTGCCTTGTACACAGCATATAGATTTGTCTCTTCTTATCTGACTTCTTTCTTCTAGTAATGCCTCTTTTTTTTTAATCTGAAGGTGTGTTTGTTTTTTTTGTTTTGTTTTTTAGAGAGACAAACAGAGAAACATCGATGTGAGAGAGACACGTCGATTGGTTGCTTCCTGCAAGGTCCTGATCCTTTGATGTCAGGCCCAACACTCTAACCATTGAGCTCACCTGTCAGGGCAATAAACTATTCTTTTTAAAAAACAGTATTCTTCTTCTTCTGCTGGAAGCTTTCTCCTTAAGAACAAAGGCCTCCCAACCAGCAGAACTTACATTGAAGGGCTGAGTAGCAGGATGAATGGGTTACTAGCTATAATCATGTGGAAAGTCGGCTTTCAGCCCTGGCCTGTGTGGCTCCTTTGAGCACAGTCCCATGCACCAAGAGGTCAGCAGTTAGTTGGATGCCCGATCAGGGCACATGCCCGGTTGTAGCTCAATCCCCAGTAGGGGGTGTGCAGGAGGCAGCCGATTGATGTATCTCTCATGGATGTTTCCCTTTCCCTTCCTCTCTAGAATCAATTGAATGACATTTAAAAAAAAATTTAAGAAAGTAGGCTTGCCAGATTGTGAATAACATCTGGACCAGTAAAATTGGAATAATTTCTTACTAGAGGCCTGGTGCACAAAATGCATGCACAGGTAGGGTCCCTAGGCCTGGCCGGGGATCAGGGCCGATCGGGGCTTTCCAGTGGCCAGCTGGGGCCTTCCTTCGTTCCACGCTGCCCCCTGGTGGTCAGTGCATGTCATAGTGAGCAATCGCACCCCCAGTCCAACTCCGAAGGGGAAAATTTGCATATTAGGATTTTATATAGATAGATTCCATATGCATACTGAGATAAGAGATAAATATTGCATGGACATACTTATAAAAATTATGTTTTGTATCTGAAAGAAATTATAACTAAGTGCATACTTCCTTTTTCTTCAGTTACCTTCCCTGGCAGTTTGCTTCTCCTCACAGTTCCTTGTTCTGCAGAATTCGTTTACAAAACTCCTGGTAGTTCCTGCCTGCATTTCATTTACTTTGTTTCACAGCTTCCAGGGTTGTCTCACCCACCTTCTTTCACCCCTTTGTTCATGGAACATTCCTGATTGAGACAGAGGCTCAACAGCTGCTTTGGGAGCGGAGACCTAATGATGATATCCAGTGTGGAAAGTCAACATAACTTCCCGGATTTTTATTTTCTAACTTTTAAAAATCTATTGATTTAATTATTTTTTAGAGAGAAAGGAACATTGCTTTGTTGTTCCATTTATTGATGCATTCACTGGTTGCTTCTTTTTTTAAAAATATGTTTTTATTGATTTCAGAGAGGAAGAGAGAGATAGAAACATCAAGGATGATAGGGAATCATTGATTGGCTGCCGCCTGCACATTGGACGAAGCCTGTAACCCAGGCATGTGCCCTTGACTGGAATCGAACCTGGGACCCTTCAGTCCATAGGTCGACGCTCTATCCACTGAGCCAAACCAGCCAGGGCCACTAGTTGCTTCTTGTATAGGCCCTGACCAGGGAGCCAACCACAATCTTGGCATATGGGACATATGCAAGGTGACTCTAATCAACCTAGCTATGGGGCCAGGGCTCAAATGTCTTTTTTCTTTTTCATTTTTTCCTTTATTGATTAAGGTATTACAAATGTGTCCTTACCCCCATTGTCCCCCCACACCCCCAATCCTGCCCTCGCCCTCACCCTCACCACCTGTTGTCTGCGTCCATTGCTTATGCTTATATGCATGCATACAAGTTCTTTGGTTGATCTCTCCCCCTTACCCCCAC